CATTCGCCAAGGTACAGGATAGTTCTAGAAAGCAGAGGGCGTGAGAATAGTCACGTGATCTCGTCGACGCAACAATAGTATCCTATGGTCACTTGTAACGGATTTATTATTATATATTTATTCTAATATAAAGGCTTGTTTAGATTAAATTTCTATTTAGAAACATACATAGCTCATACTGTTAAATATGTATAGCGAAACTCACGCCTATTCTTCAAAGTTGTAGAAGATTATCGAGAGTAAGAATCAACGATATATGTATATACATATACGCTTAAGTTTGCATTGTTACATAATCTGAATTTTCTAGAAACCCTCCATACGTCTATAAATATAAGCAACGCGACGCGCCAAAAGAGAGTACCTATTATTAGTTTGCTATAGTCAGTTTGTTATAAACTTTGGAAACTATAACTGTGGTTATTATAACGCTTATCAATCAGAAAACTTCAGATATGTGACCAGGAACCTTTACAAAGTTCGAACATTACAAATCGTTTAACATCAGTGTATTCTCATCGGATATTAATATTTTTACGAAAACATTATATAAATTCATCGTGGAAAATTCGACTTGTGTGCCCGGTAAATAATGAGGGACAAAGCTAGCTAGCTTCCCGTGTAGCAAATCGTACCTACATCAACTCGTAATTACCTCGCTCATCGTGAATCCTCGATAAGATATCAAGGAAGTTCCAGACTAGAAAGAAGACTTTATATTGCTTGTAAGTTTGTGAAACGTTTGTTTATAAATCATTGTTTGTAATAAATATTTGTAATAACTGTTATTGTAAATTGTATTGTTGTGGGTATATTTAAACGTATTTGTGTTAAAAAAAGAAAACTGTGTATCAATCTTGTTGGTAAATATCGTAAACTGACTATATATCGGGTTTTATTTAAATACTAAATCCAAAGTACAATTTAACTACTAAATTTACATTTATCAGTTAACTCCATTTTAGGCTATTTGAAATTATAATACATAACATCACTACACTAAATTTTCACCTTCCTGTTCGCTCTGTGATATATTCAGGTAAAACAAAAATATCGTTAGAGTACAAAATAACTATGCAAAAGAGCAATTTTTCTGCATGTAATTAGCGACATCCGAATAAACCAGATGTATAAAGGTCATGAACATGCACTAATCACATTGCTTAGATAAAAGTTATATACTATAATGACTATACCATAGAAGCTTGTACCAGCTTGACTCTGCATTCATGTCTACTCGCTGGGATAGGGTAATCCATTTGAAGGGGTTAGCATGTAGGGACTAATGATACAGGGAAAGGTGGGTCAGAGGAATTAATTGATAAGTACAAGGGGTTGATAAAGGCATTTAA